AGACTGGGTCTTCTCTGTCACCCAGGCAGGAGCACAGAGGTTCCATTATAGCTCACTTGAACTCCTGGGCTCAAAGGATCCTCCAGCCCCAGCCTCCTGAGTAGCTAGGCCCACAGGTGTGCAACACCACACCTGACTAATTTGTTTTTTGTAGAGTTGGGCCTCACTATGTTGCACAGGCTGGTCTTCAACTCCTGGGCTCAAGTGATCCTCCTCCCTTGGCCTCCCAAAGCACTGGGAATACAGGCGTGAGCACTGTGCCTGGTCTTTTCAAGATTTCATTAAAAGGTTTGAGGGCTTCCTACACAGGACCTAACCACAAGGGCATGCACAGGAAAATAAACAAAACAAGTAGGGTCTTTTGGTCAGCCTAGGCAAGGAAGAAAGTGAGAACAAAACAAAACACAAACGTCAGTCAAGCTCAACTCACTGTAATGTTGTGGTGAAAGCTGCCATGTTAAATCCAGGAATCCGCTCCAGCAGCTGTTCTTCAATGTATTTTTCTACCAGAGAAATCTGCAACAGTAGAAAAGATTTTGGTGAGACCACACTTTGGGAAAACAAGACTTATAAAGCCTGCCCTCCAGCCCTTCAAACATTTCCTGAAGTCCTATTCTGTGTGCCACAATCTACACTGAGTGCCAAGGACACCAAAGAGGACCAAAACACAGCTTCTGTCCTGGAGAAGTACTCAGCCTGGTGTGGAAGAGAAGCACTAGCTGGTAATGATGCTGTAACAGGGCGGATGCCCTGATACAGGTAGAGACAGCGAGGAGCACCATGCCCACACCCACAACCCAGTGCTGGGTGCGATAACTGGGGGCTTTGCTTCCTGGGTAGATGGCATCTGTGCAAACAGAGACATGGAGGCAGTCACAAGTTCTTTCTGGGCAGGTTTCATTGTTTATGCCACGTTTCTGTGTTAAGAAAATAAAGTCCTGGAGGCTGAAATGGATTCTTAGATGACAGAATCCCAGGGGGCTGCAAGAGACCTCAGGTTAAAGTGTAGAGACCCAGGGGTGACAAGCTGAGGTTCCTGGGTTCCAGTCTTGGTTTTTCCACCAACTAATTAGTGATCTTGGACTCAGTTTTCACTTTTACTTAACAGTCGTACATATCTGACTGGATTATACAGAAGAAAGAAAGAATGTGTGAAAGCAAGAAGGTTTGTCAAATGCATGCAGAAAGGTATGAAGAACTCATGTACTGTGACTGAAAGCAGGATTATGATAAGCCAAACCTATTTTGTTATCTTTATTTATTTTTTTTTGAGAGAGAGGTCTTTCTGTGTTGCCCAGGCTGGTCTCAAACTCCTGAGCTCAAGTGATTCTTCCACCTCAGCCTCCCAAATAGCTGGCACTACAAGTCCGCTACCAAGCCCAGCTCAAACTTCTTTTAAATAAGGAGCCAATGAGCTAATCAAATATTTGCCTAAAAGCCTTTTGGAAAATGGCCCCAAAGGCTGTGCAGAGGAAAATGAACTTAAACCAGATTCTTATGAGGATTCCTGGCAATGTACTAGTGGCATATTTTAAAAGGCAGAAAATTTCAATGTCTTTTGATTCTAAATTTAAATTAAAAAAAAAACTCTGACCTCCTGGTAGGAGACATAGGAATCTACTTACGTATTCATTAAAAATAGGTGTGTAGGTGAGTTTATTCTCCTCTGTGTCTTCAAACTCCAGGTAGTACTTGTCCATGAAATTTCTCTGTAATAACTGGAACTCGTCATCTGAACCACAATGGGGAAAATTTACTCTTTTTAAGTGGAGATTACCAACCATTATGATTTATAAGCAGGCAGGATCTATGTCAGCAGTACTGCCTTCTCAATGGTCAATCTCTAGAAGGAAAGCTCATGTCTTAAGTGTGTATTAAATGGGAACTTGATGTTGAAATAGACCAATCTTGTTTTTTTTTTTTTTTTTTT